ATCCATACCTTTGTGCATATATATACACATTAAAACAGGGGATTTATATTTGCTTTGAATCCTTTATGCCTTGAAAGATCTGTCACTTCTAAGTTTTTTTTTTTCATGGGCTCTTTACACAAATATTATTTGGATTCATATATGACCTGGGAGCAAAACCACCAACTTCTTTCTTCTTGATGTTACTTCTGCCATTCCTTGGATAGCTCCTGAGAAAAGAAATGGAATAAAGAGAATTAATCTTACCAAGTAACACTGTAATGAAATGTGCTTACTGGAATTTACTGTAAAGGATGTGCAGAGAGCAGTTTATATCTAAACAACAGGTACAATGATGACTAATTTACTTACGCATAACTTACCCTCCTAAGAGAGGATCTTAACTGTCATTTCATAGCTTCACCATTTGTGAAGGCCAAAGGCCAACAACCCAAGGCCAAACTCAGGAGAAAGAAATACTATATTTATTACTCCATAACGTGTCCAATAGAGTTTGTATCTTGGAATAAATGTTCTTAAAGAGAACTGAAATTGTCACAGAATGATTGCTTAGGAGCAGATATCAAAACCGAATGCCTCTCATCCACTTCTGCTACATCCTTGAAATCAAAGCTGCAACGCTGTCACAGTGAAGCAATGTAAAGAATACAATTCTCTGCCCAGCAATTCTCTTAGGACATAAATTACACTTATAACTCTCTCTACCAAACTGTTATAGCAGCATGTCAGGTTACAACTTTAAATTTAAAATAAACAAAAGGACTGCTATGAGTAGATTAGATGCCATGATGTGCAGATGTATAATGGCAAAATTTTGGCATTGTTTATAGTAATGTGTTTTCATAAACATGCTATCAGTTAAGTACAGATATTTTATAAAAGAGCCATAGTTAACAGTGGTCAGCAAAAGGAACCGCTTTGCTCTGACACATCAGTGGTGTTGAATAAATACCAGTCTTGCAGCACTTACATCAACAATGCATGAAATATGATTGCAGAAATCTAAGTCATCAATGGAGCTCAGAAATTTTAAGAAAACAGCTTACTACAAACAAGCATTTCCTTGTTACTGTAGATGTCTGACAATCTTCAGAGGAGAAAGAGCGCTCTTTTCAGAGAGGGCATCTTCCTATGCTCCGATATACATGATGAGAGATGAATTCCTCACACCAGTCAGGCTGTTCTGCTGTTTTTTTGTGCCCAAACCCCAATCACTGCATAAGCCTGGAAACTTTTGTGTTGAACCTTGAACCTTGAAGCACGTGCTGGACAGTTTGTCCTCTACCCTTCCATTAAACAACATCATTGTGTGGTAGTATGCTTTAGGGATTGATTCAATTGTGTCAATAAGACACAAAGTACAATACAACTAAATGATGATACAAGGATACGGACTGATAGCAGAAACTAACAGCCCTGCCAGGAAGTCAGGGAAGACATGTAGCAGGGCAGTTCAGATTTAGATCCTACTACAATGCATTATTATTGTTTGGTTTTTTTTAAAAAAAAAGTAACAAAAATGGACTCATCTTTCGAGAAAATATGTTGACCGAAAACTGAAAGGCTGAGACTGTAGAAAGAAGCAAGGAAAAAGGCTTCTAATCCATAACATAATAAAATCCAAAGAAAATATATTTGATCAGTGGTGGAGAAAAATCATATTAAAAAACTGTAAAATAATGAGAAAAAAAATTATAAGCTTGTTGTAGTTAGTCTTCCTAACCTTTTCTGACAGCAAAGTAGAATGAAATGAATGGTAAGCACATGTAAAACTTGCGCATTCAAAACTTCACTACAGAGTAATCTTTTAATCTTCCCTTTTCATTTTCTTAAATTATATTTGTTTATAGAAGAAAGAAGAAGCAACTTTGAGCAAAAATCAAAAGTAAACTATCAAAAAATAAAAGGAAAAACTGCAGGAAACACTGTTTCTTCAGGCATTTGCTTTTTAGGAATTAAAAAACACTGTTATTTATTGCCTTTATTTTTTAAAAAACTGTAGTTCTATACAATTTGCAAATATTTTATAGCCTAGATATTCAAATATATTGCTATTCTTTCTCCAGCTCTTCAGAATTTGTTCAAATACTTTATAACAAAGAAAGCTAGGTTTCAACAGGGGAAAAGAAAAAAAAAATCAATTTTTTTGTACTAGCTTCTACACACTATTTAATTAATAGTACACAATATTTCAATTTCAAAGATGGATAGTTAATTAACATGGCAGGTGATAACAAACAATCATATACAAGATTCAAAAACACATAAATGATTTACGAACCTACTTTGCAGTATAAAATAGGAATTAGCTTTTTAGGATTTAGATTACTTAAACACTAAGTAATCAGGTCTTCAGAGGCTCTACTTAGTACTACAACACTGACCTGTTTTCTGTCCCACTGACTACTGGAATTCAATTTGAAGACAAGGTGGAGAGGTGAGTACCTTATGAAGACTGCTTCAGAGAATAGTTCAACAGTGTGACGTGAATGGCAAACCAAGTACAGGGCAATGGGTACTGTCACAAAAAGAACTTAGACTCCCACTGACTCAGACCAGTAAAAGTATCTATCCTTTTGAGAAATTAAATAAGGAAATTAAATCAAATTCAATTATGCATTACAGAATTAAATTATACATAGGAGTTGGATTAATGCTGTGATCTACTAACTCCAGTTAGTAGATTTTTACCAGATTCTTTCCCAGGTAACTTATTCCATCATTCTTAATGCATTCTCTGTTATGCATTCCTTCTGTTCCTTTTATCTCATCTGTAGAATCACTTTTTAAATACTACACACATCTAGACCCATAGGTCACAGCTATAAGTTACCTTTAATTTTTGTTATTATTGTTTGTACTTGAGTTTAAAACTTCTCTGAAAGGAACAGAAGTACTTCTGAAGTTAACAGGATTCAACATTGTCTACCAAAATAAAATAAAATTTCCATTTATATATTAAATCTGATGCAAATATAATCCATACGAAACCATCTTCTCCAAACTGATATCAGAAACATATATTGCTATTGAACTAGATGATCAAAGAAACCGAAGAATCTTTCACTGCACAAGTCATTTCAAGACCGAGGACAGCCCAAGAGAATGTTAAACATGAACTGCAATGGATGAAGTGTGGATGGACTGTCTGAGAAATGGTTCCAGAGCTGAAAGACCACATTACATCATACACGTACTGTGATATTCAAATGAAAATGGAAATTTGTGGCTAGGACAGCCAGAAATCTTTAACATTTTAAACAATATGTAGAAAAGTCACTCAAATTTTTGTTTCTTATTATGCTATTGGAAAAGTTGTAAAGATCACCTAAATTATCTGATTTCCAGGAATCATTACATTTACTGTTATTTTCAATAATGTTCCAATTTCTTTTTCCAACTATTTTCTACTTTTGCATAAGATTGGGTTTTCAATGTTCTCAAAAATGACAGACAGTATTTTCCTTTTTCTTTTACAAAAGATAGCCATAAAATCATCATCTGATAATGTCATCATTGCAAAATATCCTCATCATTCCAAAATTGAAAACGTCATTAGAATTACAATATAGAATATATTTATCTGTTATAAAAGTTAGTCAGGGTTCACCAATTTAGCCCTTTGGAGATTACTCTGAATAACATCCTAGGCATGAGTTTATAAAGTACAAAAAAACAAAACTAAAACCAAGACAAATTAAACACACTGTTTTGTCCAATAAAACTCCCCTAATCAAATCATGAGTTATTCTTTCTGAAGCAAATAGAAGCATGCAACTACTCCAGTACAAACCTTATTTGTTTCGAAGAGTTCTTAATACTGCAAAGACTTACCCAAACTTCTTCAAACAAGTTTAGCATTCTGTTGAAATATAATGACTTTGTTGTTTGTGTAAGATTTACACTGTAGACCTGTGGCGCTTTTTTTTTTTTTTTTTTTTAATTCCTTAAGGTTTAAAGCTGTTTAGTGCACACTAAACCTTAAATCTAATAAACAAGAAAAATAATTCCCTCATTTCAAGCCATGTGCTGCATGTCAGAAGCTGAGCTGTTACACCATGCTGTTAGGTGGGAAGTACTCAAGGAAGTTGTTCCCATCTCACAGCTTTTCTACCATACCATGCTCTTTTCGCCCCAAAGTACACACAATCACAGTGTTTCCATGGGACACCACCACAGAAGGAGTATGCAATGCCAGCAGACATTGAGGATTTAACAGATAGGTTTTCCAGAGTCTCCTCAAGCTCATTCCCTTCTCATGAACACCCTGCTAGCTCTCTTATATTTCAGTTGTGGTAGCTGTTGATGCTATTCTACTACAGTATCAGTAAGTAATACCACCTCCAAAATAAAATGTCTACAGCCTAACTGTAGACTGAATTTCATGTACAAGTTTGAGCTGAAGATTCTTGGGCATCTGCATGAATGAGAAAAAGATATATGAAACAGTTACAGTAAGAAAAACAGAAAAATACTGAAGTCTAACTCTCCTTATTACATCTTGAAGATAAGAATATATTACTTCTTTGTTTACTTTTTTAAAATATGAAATTACAAGGTAGCTCCTAAGATTTCCTAGTCCTTCAGTACCTGGACTTAGAAAAAAAATGAGAATTTCAAAATATGATGTACTTAGCTCATCCAGGCTGGATGTGGCTCTGGGCAGTCTGGTCTAGTGGTTGGCAACCCTGCACATAGCAGGGGGGTTGAAACTAGATGATCATTGTGACTCTTTTCAACCCAGGCCATTCTATGATTCTATGATTCATATAAAAATGGGAAAATGGGGAGAATAGATTGCAAAGATTTTCCACTCATTACTGAAGGGCTACAGGAATGGTCGTATCTATGAAGCTAGTACATTTGAATATTAACTTGGTTATCTTTTCTCAAATGCTGAGATTAACCTATAATGCCACCAGTGGAAAAAGGAATTTTGAAAATGTTACATATAATTTTTAATGCATTAAAATATTTTAGCAAAAAAAAAACCCAAAACATTTACTTTTCATACATTTAGCCCTTTTCAAAGTAAAATGAAATATCTATCTTGTATAGTTAATTGAATGGAACTCACTTGTTTTCCTTTTCATGTTATTTCTGTATAAGAAAAGATTTGTAAAACTTAACGACTTGTCCAGAAAATGCTTTGTTCTTTGTATTCATATAGGATAACAGGCAAACATATTCAAATCTCATCATATGATCTGAAAAATAACTTCTCGTGAGCCCACTAAGAATTGTAATAGTTCGTAAGGTCACTTTTTTCCCACAACTCTTTTGGATTGTGGGTTCATCCAGAATGTTATCTGCACGATATAGTTCATTAGAGCTTACTATCAATTGTCCTCTGCCATACAGGAGACTCAGTTTTTTTATTTAACATCGTAGTCTTTGGAGTAGCTCTAGGCTGCATTAGCTTGATTTAAAAACCATAACAAGAAAGTGCACAGCACACCTTTCACATTGTTGCAGAACTCATTTTAAAGTTTAAGCTGTGACGTTTTCTAACTCTGGTATTTAAATAATCTGCAAAAATGATCTCTATAATTCTAAGAAGGATAGGGAAGATGTTGAGAAAGTCATAGCTAGTATGATTCCTGTGTAATATATATCTTATCCCAAGCAAACATACCAAAATACCTTTTCTTTATCCCTATAATAAGCACATGGGAATATATTGCTTTTATGATTGTTTTTAATATTATTCACTTAGCCAATATAACCTGATTAATACTTAATAAGAATGTATATATTGTTTTAAATAGTCACAGATGTTATTTTGCATTACTTTACCGTATTACTGTCACTGATATTGTGTCCTGCTCCAAAACCTCCAAAACCTCCAAAACCTAACCTGCAGGAGTTAGTAAAAACTACATGTTTATAAAACCATGGTGACCATAAGCGCTTTAGAAAATGGCTATTAAATAGTAGCCATCTTTTCTTAACATGAACCTGTTGATTTAGGATTTCTGCAAACAATCTTTTCAATTGTCAGATAAGCATTGACTATGGACCTAATATTGGTAACCATAAGGATGGGCAAAGTACAAATAGCTATGTATTTGTATTTCTGTACAAAATTTATCACAATGCTTAAAAGAAATCAGCAATAAAACTGTAATGCACTTTGAAGAAGTAGGCAAAGAGAGGAATCACTACTTCAGCATTTTACATTCAGGTCCACCTTTGTCCTCTATTAAAATTCTCTAAGAGTAGATATTATTTTTCCTGTAGTACATCAAAGGATAATGTCTTGCCAAATGTTTCTTTGAGATTATTATAGAACTTTGGGTTTCGTTCTGTATTATACTTATCAGACTCCTTGCAGAGAGTGATTCATTGTCACATACCTTCAGTGTCCTTTTAAAATCAGGCATTCTTGCAACATTCCCTTGCAACCTTGAGAAGTGTGCATCCAAAGAGAGATATTTACCCCCTAAACCTGTCTGGCAGATATTCCTCCTTAATTTTAGGGAAGAGAAATATACTGTTCAGGACGATCTTTTTTCTGCATGCTGTAGCATACCAGAACAGTCCAAAGAGATTTTGTTAGGAATTAGGTACATTATTCACCTGGAACAGGATTCTGAATCACAAAAGTATGAGTAGATAAATGCAGAAATCAGTGAAAAGACATTTAAAACTGATATTTAATTCATGATTCTTTTTCTTAACCTAAATTGTTTTAAAATGCTTCTACTTTGTTACCAATATGTAAAACAGTTTAATTTGGAAGAACTTCTGCACTTGAAAGAATACAATGTCCTGAATCTCTTTTTTCCTTATGCAAAAACTTCCTTTTAGCTTTCAACATACAAGGTATACTCCATTCTACAACAACAAGCTAAATCAAGAGATGTACATAAACAGAATTGAAAAGGATGTACACTTCCTATTGGCAAACAAGTCTGAGTTTTAATTCAAATAGGCTGATTATGCTATATGCAATCTAACTGTCATACAAGTCATGTTAACTCTTTCTCTTCTGATTTGGCCAAGTTTGTTCTTTCTGATTTTTTTGTTTGTTTTTAATCAAAATTCTTGGATTTCATCTTAGTTAGAACTTCAAATTTTGATTTAATTTTGTACATAGAGATACAGCTCTGATTATAGATCTTATGGATATCTAAACATATTTCATATTTATGTCTAGAATTACCACAACAACTAAACTGGGAACCACTAGCTTTGATGCAATGAAAAGAAAATGAATTTTCTTATTGACTGAGAAATATAGATAGCAAAGAAAAAAAAACAAAACAAAAAAAGAACATAGTTTTCACCTTTGTCTAATAAATTCAGTGATACCCGAAACTTTTTGTATAACTTTTCCTGATATTGTGGAATACATATTGTAATATAAAACATAACTGATAACGCCATGAGAAGAAAATAATCATAATTTTGCATTAAAATTCAAGCAACCTTGTTTGCTAGTGTGCTGCTTATGTACACTAAAATGAAAACTGTGCTATTCTTCAGTAATGATCCAAAATATTTTAACTATTATTTTTAATGCAATTATTTTTTGGACCATCAAAGCAGAATGTTGTAAGAATTTTAACAAGCTTTTGATCTTTAAAGCCACACTAAAAATGAACTATATCCAAGTACAAAAAAAAAAAAACACCAGTATTTTATTTATAATCTTAGTATAGTGTTTGAACTACAAATTCTGATTCTAGAATTGCTTAAAAGATCATGGGTTTTATAGGTTTTCACAAGTAGATTAATTTTATTTTATTTTTTACTTTTTCTTCCTTTTTTTTTTTTTTTTTTTTTCACAGAATGCTCCTTTTGGTAAATACAGAGCAAATAATCAAATCATTACACGGAGGAAAAAAAGTTTTGCTTGTATGTTTGCTCACTTGTAAAGTTGCTGCTAATATTCCATTCCCTGTTGAATAATTTCATAAAGAGCATGAGAAAACAAAAAAAGAGAAAAAGAAGTGACAAAATAGACTGAATCTCACCACTAGTATTCACCATAAAAATTCCCAAAGTGTAACAGAAATCTTACAAAATTTCCTAGGCCAGTTCCTGTACGGAATCAAGATCTCCTATGAAAAATATGGCAAATGGGAACCAGGGTTGGCTGGGAATTAAAAAGGGGAGGAGGGGGTAAATAAGTGCAGCAAAAAGAGGTTCTGAGGAATACACATAATTTTGTCTGCTTTAGATCACAATAGAATTTTTAATAAATAAATTTCTTTTTCTTTGTAAAGACACTTTTTGAAACAGTAGATTTAGCCCAGTCATTTGTGTCATTTTTTTTATAAACCATATTTTGTTTTTCCCACCCCCACCCCATAATGTCATAAACGTTTTAGATTTGAGTCTCTTGTACATTGTCTTTTGAGTTCATTCGGATCAATAACGGTTCATGCACTGAACTGTGTATTGAATTTATTGTGTTAACTGTTGTTGTGTGGTTGAAAGGAGACTTATAAGAGTTATAGTGATTTAGGTGCTCATGCTCAATTGCTGGCATGGGCAAGTGACTCTCTAAGGGTGTGTCACCTGTAAGCTCATCATCCACGTTTATGATTTCTACAGTCCGTGTTGGAGCATGATGGTTTTGCCGGTGATGCTGTTTCCTCATTTTGTAGAAAATTACCAGCATCACAGCAGCCATGAGAGTGATAGCCACAAAACAACCAATTATGATTTTAGTAGTCTTCATAACCTCATCTATTCCTGGGATCCCGTTGTTTGCGTCCGTCACAGGAATGGTGAACGTTTTTTCTGTTGATCTTGTGCTCTGTGGAGTGAGTGAGGTTGTCATGTTAGTGGTCTCCCAGTTGGTAACTGGTGTGGGCCCAACCTGCTCTGTTGTCTGTGCCTCATCCTGAGAAGGTTCCACAGTCTCCACTGTGACAGTTGAAAAATATGTATAGCCGGGGTTATCCAGGGCAGTCACATTCAGTGTGGCAGAAGCTGTGGTATTCCCAACAGAGTTACTCACCATGCATGTATACAAACCCGTGTCTTGCACAGTTACCTTTGTAAAATTTAATGTGCCATCACTGAGCACAGCAATCCGAACTCTGTATGCCCCATGTGTCATAACAGATCCATTTGGAGTAATCCAAGATACAGAGGTCAGGGAGGTTGATGCCCGGCATTTCATCTCTGCAGCCATGCCTTCAGTGACGTTCAGGTCTGCTGGTGGCTCCACTATGACTGGAGCATAACACGTGAAATAGTTCAGGTCCAGCTCACCAATGTACCTTCCTTTCAAACTGGGAGGTGTGTGGCAACGGGCACAGCATGCAGTATTAGAGGGTGCCTTGTCTTTAATCCACCAGCTGAGCCAAAGGATATCACAGTTGCAGTTCCAAGGATTGTGATGCAAGTGGATCCTTTCTAGACGGAGTGGTGTGAACAGGTCATGAGGCAGTAGTGTTAGATTGTTGTGTGCCAGATTGATCTCCACAAGTGATTGAAGGTTATCAAAAGCATTCCTTTCTATCACTTGAATCTGGGACTGTATCATCCACAATTTCTGAAGATGCATTAACCCTTGGAAGGAACCTGGCCGGATGGCAGTCAAGTGATTTCCAGAAAGGTCTAACTCATCCAGTTTTACAAGTGGAGTGAGGTTAGGAATCTCTCGCAGATTGCACATGGCAAGGTTCAAATATCTTAAGTTGGACAGACCTTCAAAGGCACCTTCTGAGATGTATGAAAGCCTTTTCAATTCTCCCAAATCCAGTCTCCGGAGAGAAGGGATTCTGTTAAAAGCATAAGAGGGTATGCTCTCAATGGGGTTGTTTCTCAACCAAAGTTCCTTCAGTTTTGACAAGTATACAAAAGCTCCATTTGGGATAGTGGTCAGACGATTGTCAAAGAGTTCCAAAGTATTAAGATTGGCCAGACCATTGAAGGCCCCTATTTCAATTGTTCTGATGTGATTCCTGCTGAGCTGCAGTATTTCTAAGTGCCTCAGATGCTTGAAGCTATTCACCTTAATGATTTGGATCTGGTTCTCATGTAGGTTGAGTAACCGGGTGTTGGTGGAGATGCCGTCTGGCACGTCTCTCAGATTTTTCCGTACACAAATCACTTTACTGAACTGGTTGCTGCAGGAGCAGACTGAAGGGCAAGTTTGAGCCCTCACTAGACCAGCTACCACAAGAAGCTGAAGAGCCAGCAGCACCACAAGCAGGGGGTCAAATAGGGCCCTGTTAAACCTAGGACCTATCATTATCTGCTGTGGATGTAAGGTCATCTTGTTCAACATTCATAATTTATCTAGTGTTGGTCCTTCTGGAATTTGAATAGTCTGAAAGAAAGAAGGGAGAAGAAGGACATTAAATTAATCCCAAATATTTAAATGTGCTCTCTAAATAAAGAGAGACTTCTCAAGTTCTTTCACACAACTCTACCAATTTAATCAAATCGTAGCACAAATAGCTATGCAAAGTCTAATATTTCAGTTCCTGTACAGTTATGCTAGCTGTAATTCACAACGAGATAAGAAATGTCCAGACTTTTCCTTCTCATTCTAAAGTATAATGCATGTGATATGATGACAGAGGCAGATAACAATTTCAGCAGCACTCCATACTTAAAAGAAATATTCTAAATCAAGAAGAGAGTTGAAAGAAGTGGCAAGCACCTCCCTCATCCCCCCCGAAAAAATAAGATAATAATAATGAATGTTTAAGGTTTCAACTTTCTTAACACATTATAAATAAATTCAAACAACAGATAATATGAAGAGGGAGTGACAATTCCTGTATTTTTTAATGGGTGAAATTGTTTGTCATTATAAATGGAGTTCCTACATTAGAGTCTGAATAAAAATAAAACTTTTAATACTAAATGTAGTAGATCATGGAAATGTTAGGGCAGTATCTCCCTATTTTAGATTTTAATCACAAAATACAAAAGAAACACACTGAGCACCAGTTCTTCCCTATCATTAAACAGTATCATCCAAATTCACGATATTTCCTCTTCAATTCTTTTTTTTGGCACCAGCAGCAGAGAAACACTCATTAGTATATGTGTGCCCAACACAGAAATAAGAATAGCCATTTAAATTCTGAAAAATATGTGTACCTGCAGGGTTGACAATTTCATTAGCATCTCTTAAAGAAAAAATCATACAGATCTTACTGTAAGGAGGAAAAAGATTTTTACACTAAAAATGATCATTACCATTCTAAGTCTTTCAGTACTGATTCATTTGTGGTAATTCTTCAAGCCCCTAGCCTTCAGTTAACTTTCAATCTGCTTCTTTCTACAAGGTCCCTCTGCTGTAGAGATTAATGAAATTTCCTATAAATCAGCCAAAAGTGAAGTCTTATAAATTACAGCAAGCTTGGAGCATATTTCTAACCTAGAGCACTCTGGTACATAATACATGTATTCAGTAAAATAAAATACTAAAAGGCAAAGGTTTTCCACTCCAGGCTCTGAATTGTTTCATTTTGTTTGAAGAAGCTATCTTTCTGTAAAGAATATATACTAACCTGCATCTCACAGCAATTCATTTACTGAAAGACTCTCTCTAATTATATATTCAGACAATGTATGTTTTGAGAATTCATTTAGGCATTTTTTTGAACTTGTTATAATGGTTCAGATCTGGCCAGAGTTCTCATCTCACATTTAATAATTTACTGCAGAAAAAAAGCCAATGACAGATACCTGTGAATGGAAATTGGAAGATCTGGGCTGTTTGTTTGATTTGCTCTGTAAGTGTTATTTATAAAACATCAATCTTGGTATGAAAGATTCATGAAACTAATGTGTTTTGCAACCTTGAGCAAGTAACCGAACTTCCTTCTCTGTGGCTTAACTTCTGTCACATGATTCTGGAGAACACCATGGCTGTAATGTCAGATGTTACAGTGCTCCTGCCTCTCATTTCCTTCCTTTTGCCAATAACAGCCCTCCTGACCATTGGCTTCATGGGTTTAGGGTGACATACTAGACTCTGATGAGGGGTGGCTGCTGTAATGCCTTTGTTTTTATGTGGGCTTATAGGGTCATTCAGAAGATGCTCTTGTGTCTTTACCCCTATCCCAAGCTTTTGCTTGTTAAATATAGGGATAAACATTTCTAAAGTAATCACTAAAGCATACCAAAAGACAAGTTTTCTTAAATAAAAAATCCACTGTAGTAAAACTATCTGTAAAAAGGGGGATTAAAAGGATTCCATGAAGAGGAATCTGCCTGTTGTGGTCAGACATCAATGAATCTAATATTGATTTCAAGCTCATTAGTTAAAATCTGTGATTATGAATTTTGATGCTGAATATTTATTAATCATCTTCTGTGATAGCTCCTAATATTTTACCTGTATTTTTTGTCCCTAGTTTTGTTTTATTGTGCAGGTTTATCATTTTCCTGCCTCATTTTTTTCTACTCTTCTAAAACTTATCCCTTAGTGACTCCACTAATCCGTAACAAAACAGATGCATAACCACAACAAATTATTCTTCTACTGCATTGGAACAACGTTATTGTCTTCACTGTTACTGAGAGAAGAACTCAGCCTGCCCTATCAAGCTTCAGAACTGATTGTTGTTCTTATATGGCTAGTGTGGCCTGGGTAAGCACAATGAGGATTGTAGAGCTGCAGCTTTGTTTTATGTTTTGTCTCGTATGCATTTGCTGTTAAAGGCCAGCTTTGCAACAGGGCATAGGACTTCTCTACCTTTCTTTTTGCTACTATGTACTCTCATTCCTGTACATGGGATATCCTGAAGGATTAGACAAGCTACTGGATGAAACAAGAAAGTGTAGCAAACACTACTAAGCATATAAAAACATAACAAACTTGAGAGAGCAGATGTCTTCAACATCAACCAGCACATGCATAAACTATGCTCAACTGCTTTGCCAGTCTCCATAAAGCCAATCATTTCAACCCATACTGCAAGACCTGCAAGGCACTTCCTTCCTGTTCCAACTTCTTGATTCACCATCTCCCGTCATTCTCTTAATTCACTCCTTTATTCAGAAATTCTTTTTCCATCAATACACACATGCTCCATGGGTTAAAAAAGACAATAATGATAAAAACATTTTATTTGAATACAGGACTGAAGTACAGAGGATCTGATGATATAAAAAGGTCACCTTGGCCAGCAGAAGCTATGCCAGGCAACCTCTTGAAAATCCTCACTTCCAACCTGCAAGTTTTGCATGAGGCTAATATCCTGTGGTGAGATTCCTTGTGTAAGAAGGAACATATTAAAAAAAAACAGCACTTTCTTTTATGCTTGCATCTTTCCATTACTAAGAGCTTAAGTATTCAGGAAGTGTTGTCTCAGTCATTTTAAGTATAAAGAGTGTGGAAACAGCCTGGGGAAAAAAAAATGTAGCCAGTACATAAACACAGTGGAAAATTAATTTAAAGTCTTGAAGAACATTATGGAAGTATGTTAATAGGCTTTACATAAAGATTTACCTGGAACTCAGAATAATTTGTTATTCAGTATCTGTCTATTATGCTAGAGACACAAAGATTTAGCTTTATAAATCCACACATGGTCTGTGTTCCAGACCATGCTTCTTTAGTCTATGTTGACAACTCTTTGTCTTCTGAGCGATTTGTTTTCATCTGTCTAGTACTAAAATATCAATTCAATGGTCAATTCAATAACACTAGTGCCCTCTGCTGTATATATTTAAAATTTGTTTAAAAGGCTAAGAATACTCTTATTGTTTTGACTATTCCCCAGACACAATCAGAATTCTTAAACTCTGCTTATATAGTAATATATTTTTTTCTTTATGGTCACATAGAGACAAATACATACAAATATATAGCTTTCGTTTTTTGGGTTTTCTTTAGTTTTTTTTTTTAGGGTTTTTTCTTTTTTTTTTTTTTTTTTTTTTTTTTTTTTTTTTTCTCCACAGAACTCAGAAAATCTTCACTCAAATCGACTCCTGATATGCATTTTCTACCTCTCTTCTACTTACCGGATACTTAGTCCTGATGTAGTACACATTTTCCTCTAAGGAAAAAGCATTGTCCTCTTAAGCTCCAATGCAGAAGATGGAGTAAAGAATGACAAAGCTAATCTATCTCTGCAGACTTCTTAGAGGCAGCTTGAAGGATACAGCTGTTACGCTACTGAAAGTTAACTTTGTCGAGAATGTGTATGCAGAGATGTCAAGATGCCTTCCTCCCAGGCCCTGTAATGAAATTGGTGGTTCATTTTTCATTCCTTTTTTATTCCCTCTTTTTTTCCCCCCATTTTTTATAATTAGGTTTTCGGCTTCATACTAAACTTTCATCACTTTTTGTTATTTTACCAGTATAAAGTCTATACTCACTTCAACCACTGTAGGATTTTCCTTTAACAATGGACTTCGATTCCAAAAAAAGAACTCCTACGCCTTTCTGAAAGATCTATCTGATATGGTATGCAGATGGCAAAGATATTTTCCCAAGTTTATGAGCTCTCTGGCAGTTGCATCTGGCAACTCAGCTTTCTATCTAGTCTGTAGTCCTTTGAGTAACAGTTTCAACAGCGGAGCAACATGATGCAAAGGCCATAGCTTTAACCTAATATATGGCTTATGATATTATATCATTTAATACACCTCAGTTGGTGCTATACATCTCCACTGAAAAAAGAATGAGATGTGAGACTATATATCACTGCGTTAAAAATATGGTAAGAAAGTATCAGATATCAGGTGATTAAATGATTACAGTGCAATTAAATCTTTACAACACTCCCTCAAGTTTATGCCTGAAAAGTTCTGGATGAGGACACTTTTTACAACTTAGTAAGTAAATATGCAGATATTTTCAGAAAACTCACCTTTTCTTCACTTTATATGGCGCGGTTATGTATGATGTATCCCACACCCTTTTAAAGAGCTTATTGAGAGAAAAACCCTTTGCAAAGATATCTGCATATTTTAGTAAACAAGCCACTCTACAGCTGCAAATTAAATGGCAGATTTCCAAACATATGAAGAGGACATATGAGTGGTAAGCAGCTAATTATGCTGGGAAGTCTCTTCCAGTAACATCAGCACTGGAGCACTGCAAATAGTTTCTGCACGAAACACAGCATGGAGAAGAGTAATAAAATAGGTCTAAAGCCCAGGATGACCTTATGAAGAAGTGACTCTTTTGACTCTCTTTTGAGTAACTCTGAATGCTCTCAGGGTCTCAGACTGATCCCTTCAAGCAGCAATGCCAGCACAGGAAGCCAAGAAAATTGCAGTATAGATACTGGGAGGCAAGCACACAATCTGTTTTAGCTGAGCAAAACAGTAAAACACACAAGGGCCAGCCCTCATCCCTGAACAGAGACTGAACTGTGGGCAGAGAGATCCACTGGGGTCAGAAATTCTCCACCAACATCTGCTCTGCAAATGCTCCTGCAGCCTCAGATTTTTGTCCCCATATGGCTGTTAAGGGTTGAGCTGATGGAACCACATTGCTTCAAATTCATTCACTATACTTTCTTGTTCCTCTTCCTGCCTTTTCTGGCCTGAAATCCTTTCCACCTGACTGAACCTCTGTGGACTAGTGCTGAAGTGTAAACACTTCGCGTGCTCATATTCAGTAAAATGACATTTTTAAAAGTTCCTTGTTTTTGCCACTGACAAAGAAAACCATACTATATTATTCATAGAGCATCACAATAATAATTATACAAAATCAGCAAATAGACTTGTTAACGTAGATCTCATGTTTCTTTCTTCTTAGCCTTACTTTTTTTTATCACTGAAACTATATAGCTGTGTATCCCTTCCTCCATTCTTAAAAATGAGATTTTCCTTTCCACTGCTATAGGACTTTAAAAGTCTCAAAAGCAGCTTAGGGAGCCATTGCAATGATGCCTAAAAACCTGCGAGGTTTCAAAGCCCAGCAGCTTTTATCTATTTGTTAGTCATTTTATTTGCAGTTAAATACAGTGGAGGCCAAAAAGGGATAGATAGGCAGCCCTGCCATGCAAACTGATTACTTGTGAGACCAGATAAATCAAAACTCACAACACAAATTATTTTCCTCTTTGCATGTTTCATTGCTTCACTCTGGGACATAGTCAAGATTTCCTACAGTCCCTTGAAGCATGTAAGTGTAGGATGCAGGGTGGATATTGCTGTATCACAAATGCTTTCCAGTTCTCTTCTGAAAACCCTCTAAGACTTAAATGAATCACACAAACTAAACAGAAAGACCTAAATGTGGTTGGACACATCCAATCCTCCTGAATCACCATTCATTGCAGGGGAGTTCAATCAAGGATAAGTTTGATCCAGTCTGCCTTTCCATTCTTTTATTTCATTTTGGTATACAGAAAACAGCTTTATTTCACATGATTTCATGTTTCCTCCAGTATGCCTTCCTAAGGCTTATAGAGTTTAATTTAAATGAGAGTTTAATCTAAATCAGTTTTACATGTCCCTTTATTTATACATTTTCTTTTACTCCCAAGTTTGACTAGTACTTTGTATTCTCAATACAAGCGAAAACATTTGCTATTTACAGGATAACCACAGGAAATATCAGAAAATTGATATTTCTTTATTTTTATATTTACCTATATATTATTTTTATTAAGAGTAGTTTGTTGGGTTGTTTTATTGATTGTGATACTTTGTGAGGATATCACCCTAAAGGTGTAAAGAAAAAAAGTAATTTCCTTCAGACTACTCACAGTTGTGTAAATGGAAGCAATCTATGAACTAACTTTTCACTATGAAAGAACTTAAATTCTTTCATGAAGGCTATCACATTACAGCTTGGTAATAGTACACCCAGAAACATTCTAGAAATTTAATTGGAATTAACTTTTAAAGTGGGTTAATTATATTGCATTAAATCTTTGTGTGGACACTCTTATTTAGAATTTAATTTAAGCTAAATTGAATCAAGGCCACTGTAATTTCAATTAACAGTGTCCATAAAAGAATGTAATGCAGTTTAGCCAGTCTCTTTTCAAAGTTAATTTGGATTCATTTTCTTGAAACCCCATGTAGACATTAGGAACTTGCATTCTGTATTGACTTGGGCTTAGTTCAAACCAATTATGTGAAGGCAAAAACGTTTTCTATCACAACACTGATCCCTCAAATTATTCAAGTCGTATTTTGCTCTTCTCTTTTCACTAATTCATTTGATAAAACACTGTTTCTTTTAACATATTGCTATACTTTCATCTTCTGTATTCTTCTAAGGCAGATATTTATGTAGAGTGAACAACATGACTGCATAGAAGCAATTTTGCAAGAGCCTGGATACCATAATTTTCTTAATTACTTATAGTAGCATGTCACTATGTGCCAACCATGATATAAACAAAAGTCATACAAATACCTTCAGGATTTCACCTGAAGGTATATACATCAGTGAACAGCCACTAAACTGCAATATATCAATAATGATTGAAAGGATGCTTTCTCAATCTGTTTTTGGTTTATTATCAAAGCGAAATGACAGTTACTCTTTTTAGAAGACATCTGTGAACCACAAACAAGTTAATAAAAAAGAAACCCTTAGTAAAAAATTATATGATATGCTACAGCAGTGTTCCAAACCGCTGCATTTTTCATTTCTGCCACATTAAGGTCACCATTTTAGAGCACTGTGGTACTTTTTTTTTTCTTTTTTTTTTTTTTAAACAGACTAGCAGTGATTTAAGACATCTATTTAAAGGCACTACAATATACTTAATTCCAAACAAACCAGTTTTAGTTTGGTAGCATATTATCAGTTGTTACATGGAGATATGAAACACTATAAATAGAATCATTTTCAACAACAGGCTACAAGATTTTAAAGAAACAGGTAAAAAATGTCAGGTTACATCTAAAGGATATTAAAATGTGTATTTGGTGCAGACACAATGGCAAAAAAAGCGTGACTGGTACATTCCAAGACTTTTCCCCTTGTTCCTTCCCAAATTGCCTCCTTACTCACAAACAATAAGATACAGATGATGGAAACGTCAGATCAAAACACCACGTAGTCTGACAATGCTCACACAACTGTATGCATATACAACCAGAACAAGGAAGATCAAATAGAAGAAATGGATATTAGATTATATATTTGTCCTTATGAAAGTTTCATCCAACTCTTATGAAATGCAAGTTCAGATTTTAAAGCTAAAAACCAATAGCATTTAACAATATATATATTATTTTACCGAATATGCTAATGGTGGATATTTCTTCCTCTAAAACACAAGATCCTTTGATCATTACTGAGTTTGTAACCTCAGGAGCTAGCATAATCTAGGAGATAGAAATATTTTAATTTGATAAAAATATCTTTGTGAATTAGCAGTACTTTCTATGCATTGGCAACAGGGATGCTCTGGTAAAAAACTGAATTAATTTAGAAAAAAATTAAGATTTTTTTTTTGAGATAAGAAGATCAGAGGATTGTCTACTTCACGGGTATAAGGAATGGTGTTTGTGCTTTACAAAGTGCAGTTTTTCCAAATACATTTTGTAATACGCAAAATGGAGGGACCTGAATGATAAAAGTAAATTATTGTAAAGTAGCAATGCAAAGTCTGCATTCATGCTTTTTTTTTTTTTTTTTTTTTTTTTTTTTGTATCAATTAGAATGCATATCTGCCTAAATACATCTACACTGTAACACTGTGTTAAGAAAGATGCTTCCCTATTTTAAGACATGAATTATTTGATACTGAGTTGGAGAAGTGCTAGATAAGTATTTCATAACCTTGGTAACTATAGACTGCATTGCTAGTATGCATTATTCCAAAAGACCTGGGAGAAACAAATCCAGCTAACACACTAAAGCACCACGGTCCATTTTACATCACTGCATTTGTAGTGGCTAACTGAGTCCAAATTACTCCCTCATTCTGTTAATAAACATAGAGACAAAGTGAAAAAGAGACAGAAAATAAAAAGTTATGGCTGTGAATAGCCTCGAGTCTGGCAACTGATGGTCAAATTTCTTGTCCTTGGTAACTATGGAAACCCCTTAAGGTAAGAGTAGAACGCAGGCATTTTGTGTTGTGCAATTTACAAGCTGTTTATTTAATTATGAAGGAACAGAAAACTGTTAGAGGCAATGCAATTATCATACTGTGATAGCATTTTGAGAGAAAAAAAATAGGTACAGAGAATTGTAAGTAGTTAATTTTTTGGAAAATTACCTGTTTTAGGACTTTTATGAATGTGCCATACAT